GGGCCTACAGCAAAGGAGCCAGCGAAAATCAACCCTCTCTTCTTTATGGTTGGTTTATGTCAGGCATTTTGTCATAGTGATGAAAAGGTGATTTGCACTCTGTGTATGTATGAGAGAGAGGTAAAGACAAGGGACGGGGGGGATTTCTATTAGTTCTATTTTTCTGGAGAACCCTGAGGGATACAGGAGATCATACAGTGAAACATGACACAGTGATTCATGTGACCTCTCACATTATTCTTGGATGTACTCTGTGAATGTATAATTGCTTCAAAATTCTGGTTTAAAAAATATTTTAAAAAATCAGAACCGAAGTTTTTCAGGAGCAGAGAGATTGTTCAAGATTGAAGGAGCTTTGAGAGGTGTACACGCTGGTATGCTTGCTGGTCCTGGACTAGCTAGCTTTTATTTTGCTCAAAAGGACATTATTTGGGAAGATAACAAAACTCAAAAGGAGTTTCTTAGTGAAGGATATATTCAAGATTTTAGTATTTTCCATGCACTATTTTCCTGTAAGTTCAAAATTATTTCAAAATAAAAAGTTAAAAATACTTAAGCAGCATGATGATTTATCAATGAAATTCATAGTAAAGGTTAGGGACCTTTTTTATTTCCTGTATGTGTGTGATGTGATATGTCTGTATAAACATCATCTTTTTGACCTCAGAAACCACAGGGTCAACTAGCATCCCAAAGAGAAGAATAAAGAATAAAGGAGACCCCATTGGATCATGATAAAGATTTGCATTATTAACCCACCCAGCTGACCTCTAGAGGGAAGGGAAACTAGCTACATCAGCCAGCACTTCAGTCTTTTGTATGTATCGGCAGAGAAAACAGCCACAGAAAATACATGAATAAAACAAAGATGCCCCATGGCCTACAGACCACATGCTATAGGTGGCAGCTCCTGGATTGGACTAGGGCTATATGGTATTGACCAATTGGTGTGTGGAAAGATTCTTCATAGGGCCCAGGGATGCCTCTCACTTCTCAGGCTGAGATCTGTGTCCTGTTTCCTATTGTTTTTAAAATCTGTTTGCATTAGAGCAGAAAAGGCTTTCTTGCCTCTGCCATTCCTGAGAATGCCGTATTTCATCTGTTTCCTGAATTTAATGCCGTTTACACCATTGCATAAGTTGCTGCATTGTCCAAATGCTGCCGTGAATATCAGCTTCCAATAACTCTCCAAGCTGTTACAGTGCTTCGTAGACGATGATCATAAATGCAAATCTGCGCAGAGTATACAGGAAAATGTAAATGTTAGCTCATTTTCTGGTCATGTTAGATTTACCACTTGGAATTTTATAGCATTAAATGTGAAACCACATCTTCAAACTGTATCTCCTCTTGAACTTTGAAGCAGTAATTACTGATTTCCTTGCATGTGATCTCCTGATCTCTTGAGTAATTTCCTGCACACTCACCTTCCCACATTGTCACCAGGGTGGGAGACTAGCAGGTGGCCATGGGTGGGGTGAGAAATAATCCTTCTTTACAAGTAGCATCCACCATTAGGCGTGGCTTAAAACCAACTGGCAAAGCAGTGTCAGTGCATTGAACAAGGAAAGATGGAATATGATCAGAAAGACCACTGGAGAGATGAAGGGCAGGTCTCAATAACTCCACCCTCTCCACTGCCTGCTACATGCCACAGGGCATGGAAGTCCTGACTCTATTGCCAGCAGCAGATTCACACAGTGTAAAAGCCACCTGCCTTTATGCCCATCACCTTAGGCTGCTGAGTTCCGGAGGCACTGTGGCACATAGACTCTTTCCTGAGGGGTGAAAATCAATCACAGTAAGCCAGGTCTTAAACTAATTCTCTACTTGACATGCATGGGAGTCATTTGTGAGCCATGCATCAGAATCATTCCTGTGGCTTGGTCTCATGGAATCTCCAGAAGGGAACATCTCATTGGTCAGTGAGCGAGATGCCCTCGCCAGCATGCTCCATTGGAGCCCAGCCAGAGTGGTTGATGCACAGGTGTGGTTATCCTAGAGCTAGTCAGAGCATCAACCCTTGGCGTGGACCCGGTCAGATGGTGCTCCAGAGAGAAGTAAAAGGCAATGAGAACCCAATCTGAGCTTGCAACATTAGCCCAGACAGCACTCGGTCCCCACCAAGATGAAGGGGCAGGTGTCCCAGCCTGCACCATGCAGCCTTTGCCCCATGCCAAGGTGATTACCATGAAACACAGGACAAATCGAACACTAATAGTCAGCCCAATGACACTATGGGTGCAGGTGATGAGGTTATTAATTTCTGCCTGGGGGAATGGAAATGGGAAGACCGGCTCTAAGCTGACATGGTGTGGGCACAACTGGTACAGACAGCGGATGGCCGGCGAGGTGGTGGACTGCCGGTGACTATTGCTTTGGAAAGGAAATGTGGGTGATGGGTGTGAACATTCACCAAGTGGGAGAGGGATGTCATGGGGTAGAAGGCCCTAAATATTAGAAACTTCTGGAAAGGCACTGGATTTGGGAGATGGCTGAGAAACACTGATGGGAGGAAATAATCTGAGAGCACAGAGGACCTCATAGAATGGCTGGGGGGAAAATGAGCTGTCAGTCATGTATCTCCGCAAGATGAAAACACATTATAAGAAGTATGAACCTGCCACTGTGCAAACACCATGCAGTGTGCTTAAACAAAACTGTATCATACCGTCAATTCTTTTGTTTGTGAATGTATAGATGTAGATGTACATATGTATGTGTATATAGACTGAACTATATAGGACACAGTTCATGTATATATGATATATATATCTTATATCATATATTACATATGATATCTTTCATAGCATATATGATATATAACATATATCATATATTACATATGATATATGCTGTATATCACATATCACTGATTAAATATATCACATATATATGATAGTTATATATATTATATAATATATAAGTATGTTATATAATATATAGCACATATTTCTAATAACTTTCTATTTATATATATAACTGATGTATGATATATATAATATATATGACAGTGGTCTCATAAGATTATAATGGTGAATTGTACTGAAACTTTATAAGCATCATAAAATGGTAGTCAACACATCAGTCATATGTTTGTGGTGACACTGCTATAAAAAAAACTTCACAGCTCTCAAATGACTGACCACCTCAGATAGTGAGAGAGAAGAATGGTTCCTTGTTGACTAGCTACTGTGCTGGGAGTAAGAGGAAAAGAAAGAGCCTTGCATCTATCATGCTTTGTATGATCTCTACCTCATAATGTTTTGCCATCTTAAAAAAAGAAGTCTCCAGGCCTGGGTACAGTGCCCTAAAATACCAGTTACTTGGGAATATCGCTGTTCAAAGCCAACCAAGGCAAAAAAATGATACCAATTTGAAAAAAATGAAATAAAACAGGAGGTATTGGAGGTAGACTACCTGGCTTGTAAGTGTAAAACCCTGAGTTCAAATTTCAGTACAGAAGAAGAAAACAGAGATGAAGGAGGAGGAAATGGGGAAGAAGGAAAAAGTGAAGGCGAAGAATGAGAAGAAAGGTATGCCAGGTGAGGAAGCTGTCCCTCACAGGGCAATTCAGTTCTTAGAAACAGGGCAGGCAAGGTCCCAGGCTCTCCTCAGGTTGCATGGCTTTGTCTCTTGCTTGCAAATGGATCATTCCTCTCATCTGTAGTCCACACTCCCTCCATACCTAAGTCACACACGAAGCCAATATTGCTCCTGTCCTAAGTCAACTCATAGCCATGTTCTGGGTGACCCACAGAACATTTTGGAGCCCAAGCCCACAGAAATCATCCAAATCTAGTCCATTCTAAACCATTACTCTTTCCTGCTTTCATTCTCTGGTTTAAAACAAAGAAATTTCAATTAAATTCTAATAAAAGCTCTGACTTTCTACCATTCCTGCTCTTGTCTCTGTCCAAAGCCTGGTGTCACACCCCCTGTGGACCCTGAATAGCTGGGAGTTCATAAACTTCTTCTTTCCCAGCCTATTTCTCTTTCCCTCCTGTAGCCACACCAACTACCATATCATACCCAGACTGGATTTTCTGCAACAACCATGGTCCTTATTATTAAACGAGTGTCTGATGTCCTGTTCCCGGCGCTTGCCAAGAAGCAGGGTGGCTCCCTTGGCAGGCTCAGCTCCAGGAATTCCCATTCACCTCCGGAGCCCAGGGTGGGGAGGCGTCTGCTTCCCGTTTCACCAAGCCTTTGTGGAGCATGGCTCTTCCAGGTAAAGTGGCTACAGCTGAAACACCATTCTGCATCCTCTCCATTGGATTTGATTCCATAGATTGGTTCCCCTAAAAGGTTGAAATTACAGTGTTCGTATTGGGATAAAAGTCCTTGCCTTGCTGCTCCTGTTATTTGTTAAAATGCGTAATAGCCCTCTCTAAGAACCTGGCATTAGATGACAGAGGTAACGCACAGGGCCCTGCTTGCCAGCAGTAAATTGAAGTGACTCTGAGCTGCAGGAAGGAGCAAGGGACAGCTCTGCTTCTGGAGGCCTGGTGTAGATTCTGGACCTCACTGAGGCTCTAAGTGACAGATTGTAGTGACCTGGGCATGGAACTGAATGGTAGGCTCTGGAACACTGAAGTAAAAGTCCTGGCAGAGGAGTGCAAATAAGACCTTTGGCCCACCTAGGCTGCTCATTTGCAGACAGGGGAGTCTAACCCAGGATGACACGTAGGCCACTCACCCCACCAGAACTCCAGAATTTCCCTCTGTTCCACCACTAGTAGTCTGTTAAACCAATCTACCCCTCCAATAGCCCAAATACTCCAAGTGCTTTTTAACTAGAATCTCCCAAATACCTTCATGTCCCACTCAAAGAACAGACTTCCTTTTTTTTTCTCATTAAACTTTGTTTTAATGGGTCTCAACACTCTGTGACAGATTTTTGGTCATGTTGTTTCCATTAAAAAGTACTGATTTTTAAAAAACTAATAACTTAAAACTGCCACACACAAAAAAATGGCCCACAAAACATTTCCTTTCCTTGTGAAGGCTTTACGATGCATTGTTATCATTAACCAGTCTTTTACTATTAAACTTAAACGGCCAATTGAGATAAACAGTTCTGAGATCGTTCTTCCACCACTGGTTAAGACTGAGGTGGCAGGTGTGAGGGGTAATATTCATTTAGCCTTCTGAGCTTTCTGGGCAGACTTGGTGACCTTGCCAGTTCCGGCAGCCTTCTTGTCCACCGCTTGGGTGACATCAGAACAGACTTTTTAATGATAGTTTTTCAAGTTAGAGGTTTACCCAGTTCAAGAGATATTTGAGCACTGAGATTCAAGTCACCCTGGGAGAGGTGGTTTAACTTCTAGTGGATTCACACTATCCTGTTCCATGACAGGCTCACACAGTAAAGAGACACGAGTTGTCCTTGGGAAGAAAGGTATTTCTAGTTTTAGAATTCCTTGCAATATCTTCAATCAGCCCATGTCAAAATCACAGAGGTACCAGCGCACCCCAAGGATACAGGAAAGCTTTGCAGATGAAGAGCATGTGTGCGTGAGTTTGTGACTTAGCTAAGATCACCCTGTTTACGCACTGATCCCCTGATCTGGGGCTAGGGTTCCTCCCCTGATGGGTGCACAAGAGCTCTCTTGTTGAAGCTCCCCCATTCCACTCCAACTCCTGTCAGGTGAAGTTACCACTCGATGCTTTGTGTCCCCAGTTCCTTCCTAATAGTCATTAAGATGAAAATCCAATAGGCAAAATATTAACCTTTGCCATACTCCGCTGCTCACCACAATGGCTTAGGCACTTAGGCCAAAGGAGTTTGCTAAAAGAAGAATTCTGAAGCAGCTCCAAGCATCGAAGCAACATTCAAAGATGGCATTCACAGCTCATCTTCTTTTTTAGTAACTGAGAGAGTCACCCGACCCACATAAAGCAAAGAACCTGAATGTTACAACCCTGCTTTGAAGAAGAGCTGCCTTGGTTGAGTTCAAAGGGAATAAAAAAGTAGGTCAGTTGCCCAGGGTTTTTAAAAGAAAAAAAAAGGGGGAGGAAAAAAATATATATATATAGTGAAGTTGATATCTTACAGTCACTATTGTCTTGCTTCCTAACCAAATAATATAAATAAACTAGTAGGTTTTGAATTTTTATCAAAGGTATGCACCTGAATGCTCGAGAAATACTAGTTAATTTCAGACACTTCTGTCTTGGCCCACCTGGCTTCCCTCTTGCTTCTAGTGCAGGAATATTCTGGATGAAAAGAACAAGAAGGCGGAGGGATATTCTCCTGCATATGGCTACAGCCTGCAGTCTCTCAGAACCAGACCCCTGCAGAGATACTCTTTCATCCATGCATGTATTCATTCATTTATCAAACATTCACACATTGGCTGCCTGCACCAGCATCTCTATGCCCAGCATCCTGGGACTTAGAGGAAGTACAGAGTTGCCATGGACGGCCACAGGCTCCCTTGGAGCCGCTCAGAAAGCCCCATGCTTGTGGCATCTCTCTTCCATCTCATCTCACAGTGAGCCCACAAACAAGGCCTTATTTCCTTCTGTTCACCAAGGCTCAGGTCTAAGCTCATCCCCTGCCACCAAGGTGAGTTCTTCCCACACCAAACTATATATATGGAAGAACATGGCAGGACTGGTGGCTTCCACAGTCACCCCCTTGCCTTAGCCCCCTCAGAAGCCTACCTGCAGTGAAACTGATTCATGTGTTGTTGTTTTTCTCTCTCTCTCTCTCATTAGAAATGATGCACTGAATTGTGTCTTTCATGAACTAGAACCCCCCCCCCCAAAAAATGCAGGAGATCCCAGTCAGTCCAGCTAAGAAGGGGGTGGAGGGCGGGGAAGTGTTCTTCTGCTCACATCTCTGCACTCATGACCGAAGAGCGAGCAGGCTCAATAACACCACACGTGTATTCGTTTTCCTCAGCATCTTACGTTGCTGCCCAAAGTCCCTGGCTCTGTAAATCCTCCTCGACTATGTGCTTCTGCGAATGTTCTAAAGGTATCAGCCCAGCTTCCTGGAGAATACAGCCTGCTCATGTGAGAACTCTTTCCACAAAGAACAGAAGGCACTTGAAACAAGCAAGGACAGAAGGCCGCACTGCCTTCTGCATGGGGGAGCCTGGTGGAATGTCTCCTGTCACCTGAGCTAGGTGAAGGCCAGAGCTACCACATCACAGCCCCCTTTTCAGAAGCTGCGTGTAGGAATGCAGTCACAGACACAGAGAGAAACAGGGACAAATGAGTCCACTAGAATTCAACTAGACTTCATCCAGGTAAGACACAGGAAGAGTGGTAAGAGGCTTTTCACCTGCACAGTGACTTTCCCTCTAGTGACCATCAGACACAACTCCACCCCTACTTTTGCTCCACCCCTACTTCTCCAGATGTGAAGGCAAGCCCGCAGCAACCTAGCTGTCATCCAGAGCTTCGAAGACCAATGGGCTTGTTCCCAAGTCACCACTGCCCTACTGGGAACTGTATGACTCCAGTCTCTCCCTCTCAATCCATGCTCCCTCGCTACCATAAATGGAGCCACGTTCTCCACCACGTAGCCTGCTATGATGTGTGGCCCTCCCACAGACCCTGAATGGGGTCAAAAGCTATAAACATAAATAAAAACCTTTCCTCTTTTCAGGTTTATTGTTACATGTGCAGTTGCAGTAACTGAAAGCTGACTCACACACCATCAGAACTCCAATCCTGGTTTTGCTGCTCCCCTCAATCCATGACCCCAGCAAGTCATTTCTCTTCAGTTGCCCCTCCCTCCCTTTTAGAAGCGTGAACTCTATAGCCTGTTCCTCTGGTCGTAGGGATCTCTGAAGGGCAAGAACAATGAGTGATTTCTGAGTTACATAAAGCAAGATGGCCTGTAGTAGTGAGGAGAGTGTATTGATCTGGACCTAGAAAGACAGATATCACCAACAAAGCCAAGGTGATTGGGAAGGCTCTTCTGAACAGAGGGATCAGCATGAACAAGGAAATGAGAAGGACATAGGACTTGAGGCAAGGAGCAGGCCACAGCCCCAAGTAGCCACAAAACAAAGACTGAAAGTCTTCCTTGCTCATGAAGATGACAAAGCCTCAAGAAGGGCTGGGCAGAGTTAAGGTGGGTATTACAGACAGACAGGCACACATGTAAAGCGACAAGCCTGCCCACCACTAAAACACTAAATTTGTTATCCCACACTCAGAGTCACTGGGAAAGGAAGAACTTGGGAAATCAAAGAAGAGCCAATTCTGGGTAGTTAACTCTGGAATCGAGTGCCCTCCAGTTGTATTTCTAAAACACAAATCCAGTTAAGTTAGTCCCTTGCCTATAAGCCTGCCATGACTCCCTGTGCCTGCAGGATCAAGTCCAAAGCCTTTAGTGTGCCATGCAGCCTCATCCAATGTCTCCTGGAGAACTCCTCACCACTGCAGACATGTGTTCCCTCTTTGAGGCTGGACTTGGCTCAATGAAACTATACCAGCCTTCCCTGGGGTGACCATCAGGGAATAAATATGGACTAGCGAGATCTCCCTGGTAAAGAAAGTTTCATGCTATTCCAAGGGCAGCACAGAGGCTCTGAAATTCTGAGCAAGGGAATACCACGGTTGTATTTTCTGTGGTTGTTGAATGGAGAATGAAGTAAGAGAAAGGACAAGAGACTTTCCTCCTGTGTCTACTTCCAATCCCTCTCTTCCTAGAGCAAATGGTCTGCTTTCTTTTTCCACCTTTTTGATGAGGCCTTTCTTGGCCATATATGCCAGGAAAACACTTCATCCTTGATTCCCTCATCCACCCCATAGACTGCAAGCTTTCACTTGCACAGGTGTAAATCAGAGGTGTTGTAGGTTCTTGTTCTGGTCTCTACCAATAAATAGATGATTAGCATCTCCAAGGAAACCACTGAATTTTGTTTTTTCACCTTGATGCTCTTAAGATCCGGCACAAAGATCCTGACACCCTACAAATAGCCTAGAAATATCAATTAGTTAACTGGTTAAAAAAAAATGAAGTGTCAAAATTGCACACAGTGTTCCAGGTGGCCTTGAACCAATATAGTTCTCCTAGCTCTTGCGGGTAGCTCTTCAGAATAAATACAGAATATTCTCAGAATGAAACATTCTTAGACAAAGGAGGGACTAACCAAAATAGCACAAGCTCTGTTACAGTGCCTGCCCCCCTCCCTCTCTCTCCCCACCCCACCCCGGCTCTTCAACACTTCAGCACAGCAAGACCTGTTTCCCCAGAGTATAAAACACAGGGAAGAGTACTTGTCAGAATCCCTCAGCAATGGTGTAAGTGGAACACATAACACAGTGAGATTTTGGTCTCCTCAAGCAACTTTCCTGGGCCTTGGGAGATAGGCTCACAATGCATTCTGGGATTGTGTTGTCCCTTGCTGCTTATCTACAAGTAACAAACCTGCTTTGCGTAACTTGTATGCATGGGTGTTCTACCTCACTGGGCTCATACAAGTTTGTAATCAGTGCATGCGAATCTGTTTTACACAAATCTCTACAGGACACCTCTCCTGTGGTTGACCTCTTTCTTTGGACAGATACACACCATATGCTTTTACTTGTATATAAAATAAAAAACAGCAGAATTCAGAAGCAAAAAGAATGGTAGTTACAGAGGCTAGGAGAGAGGGTTAAAATATTGAAACAATGTTGGCCAAAGTGTATTAATGACATTTAGACAGTAAGAATCAACTCAAGAGATCTATTGCAACATGGTGGTAGTGGCTCACGCCTATAATTCTAGCTACTCAAAAAGGCTAAGATCTGAGGTTCAAAGCAAGCCTGAATAGATGAATCTGAGAGACTTTTTTTTTAATCTCAAGGGACCCAATTGGAGCTGTGGCTCAAGTGATAAAGTGTCTTCTGTGATCAGAAAAGCCCAGAAAATGTGTGAGGCCCGGAATTCAAGCCTCAGTACCAGCACACACATCAAAGAGAGATCTAGAGATCTATTGTGCATCATAGTAACTATAGCTAGTAATAATGTATCATATACTTGAAAACTGCTAAGAGAGTAGATTTTAAATGTGATGAGCACAAATAAGTGGTAAGTATGAGATCATGAAGATGCTAATTAGCTCAATTGCATATTGCAAAACATCCCATTGTATGCCATAAATATATAGAATTTTTATTTGCCTATTGGTAAAAAATAAAGCATCCCCATTTTCTCTCAGAGTCTGAGAAAGATTCTTTCATTCTCAAATGGATAGCTATCTCCCTACAAACCAGATCCTGTTGACCCAATGAAAGCGTTTGCTCTCAGCAGGTATAAAGGGAGTAGGTAGGGGTGCCATAGAGCACAGGCTGGTTGGCTTTTTGTTGTTGTGTTGTTCAACGCTAGACCAAAGAAAAAAAGATATTCAGTAGAAGGATAGTCAGTGGAGCATGTTTCACTAGGAGAGATGGCTGCCCAGAGATGAAGTGAAGGAAACCAGAGAATCCCTTTAGTATCTCCCCAGAAGGCCAGGTTCAAGGCCAGCCCCAGTGGGCTTTCAGGCCTTCTCTTCTCCATGTACTGGATCCACAGAACAAGAACACAAGCCCCACTGGTTCACCTACTAGATCAGGGAGGCAACACCTGCTGCAGCATTTACATTCCTGTGTGCATGCTGTGTTTTCAAGTCCTGGGATGTGATGTTGATGAAAGACAGTTAATTCAATTTCTTCGTAGAAATTGATTAATGGACTGGATTAAAAGAAGTCCCTTGTGTCCGCAGCCTTCGCCCAGCATACCAATTCTGTGTTATCTAGCCTGGTTTTCTCCTTCCCTCCTCCCTTGCCTGGACAATACACACTCAGGCATAGTGGGAAGAGGGAGTGCGGGGAAGAGAGATGAGAAGACACAGATTAGAGCTGGAGTATACCTCTATATTTAATTAGTTCTGTTAATATTTTACAATAATAATAGAAGAGCCCCATGGGGAACATACTGATCAGAGGAACCTTCTAGCAATTGACAGCTGTTCTGAGGTGGATTCTGCCAGAGGCCCCAGGGAGAAAGAGAAGAACATTTTCCTGCTCATTGGAGAATAAACCAGAAGGCACTGCCACCTTGAAATGCCAGCTGCAAGACCCAGGGTTGGCTATAGCTTCTCTCTGTCCTTATAAAGACACATTTAATCTGAGGATGATGGTTCAAAGCTAGCCCAGGAAGTCCTAACAGAACCCTTTCCCAGCTGCTGTCTAGAAAGCTCATGGCTTTTCCAATAGGACCTTCTGTGATCCCATACTCATTGAATGATGCTGGCCATTCTAACTCTAACCATACCACCAAGCATGAAGGTGCCATGTTGGTTGATGGTACCCTTTAGTCTTGGGCAAGGATTAATCAGAACCTTGCACTTTTCACAGGCCTCCAACATCTGTGGTCAGCTTTGCATCTGTGTTTGAAATCAGAAAAGAAAGACCTACAGATTTCTCCCACCCAAAGTCATCCATAAATATATTGTTCCATGAGCGCATGCTTGCTGGGACTTTCTGACTCTCAATACAGTAATAGTGCCACCTTTTGACTTTCCTGCCCCCACCTCCCACTAGGGATGGGATCCATCCATCAAGTGCCTCTATGGATAATCCCATCTTTTGTAGCTTTAGTTAAAAGTGACTTGCCTTGGCTCTCCATCCACCATATTGGCTATACCATATTGCTGCACAACATTTGAGTATTAGGAAGGGAGTTGATGGGACACCAGGCAGACATGAGCTAGAGCATCCCTCAAAACAAGAAATTCTGATGAATCGTTTATTCAAATGAGCTCCTGAATGTTAGGTAATATTGCATGAAATATAAATCAATTGTTTTTTTTTTAAGAGAGAGCAAGGAAAGAAATCTCAGTTCATTGAAACACAATGCAAATGCAGGCAGTTTTCTTTTTATTAGAAAAACAAAGAAGTTAAATCTCATTTAAATAAGAATCTGATACAATGGGTAGAGTACTTTAGGTGACTCAGGAATAGATCAGTCCCTCCTCCCCCCAAGCCACATCTGCCAGATGCCTGCCTTTGCCATTTGTCAATTAAAATTCCACTTCTATTGTTGGAAGGTTCACTTTGAACTTACAAAGCTATGCATGGCTCACTAGGGTACAGCATTAGCTGCCTGAAATATGCATAAATTAGCATCATTTGTCCCATGTGGGGTTTCTAAGGTGAACTGTGAACACTTCTATAGATAAAGGCATGGATTGCCGTCTTCCACTACCCGGGGAAGGAAATAGTCATTCAAGATTCTCAAGGATTTCCATCCTGGTATGGTTCCTGTAGCTGGAAGATGGTGAATCAGCCTGTACAGGGTAGAGTCCCTTTTCTCAATAAGAAAAAGAAAAAGAATGGGGTCTCAGAAATTTCCTTTCTTATGATGCTGGGGTTAGAACTCAGGGATTCATACTTGTGAAGCAGGTGCTCTACCACCTCAGCCATTTTCCAGTCTTTTATGCTTTCATTATTGTTTGGGTAATATCTTAATTACCTGAGGCTGGCCTCAAACTTTAATCCTTTTGCCTAGAGCTAGGATGACAGACACTCCAACCACACTCCCCCTCTTGTTTGTTGATTGACATAGAGGTTCTGGCTTTTTGTTTGGGCTAATCTGGTACCATGATGCTCCAGTCTCCAAGTAGCTGGGATTACAGATTTGAGCCAACATGCTTGGTTTTGAAAGGAACAAAGAAAATCTGTTTAGGCTAAGGTTAAAAAAAAACACATGGGAGTGGGGAACTCTCCATTCATTCATCCAAAAATGACCCCTGTGGTCTGGTCCAGCCTTACACAGTCCTGAGGCAGGTGCTGAGAGATGCATGCAGCCCAATTTCTCTCTCTTGTTGGCTTAAGCAGGCCCTATCCCATAGGAACGTGTTTATATACTGTATTATCTGTAAGAAGAAAACTCAATAGCCATATCTGGAAGCAAGGTTAAACACAAGAAAAGTAAAATCCACCCAAATAATGGGGAAGGGACCATTGTTGAAGACAATGGATACAATGCTGGATACAATTCTCTCTGTCCTTTCTCAGAAGAAGTAACCCAAGGGATGAACCGATGTCTTCTAACTTCCAGAAGATGAGCTGCTATAACCCATCCGCTTTCCCATCCCTCCATCCCACCGCCACAGAGCATTCACGTGATCAGGCTGTCTGAGAGACATCAGCAACAGCCAGCAGGCTGTGTTCTGCAAGAGCCTGTACTGTGGGTGAGTCCCAGGCGAAGGGAAGTCTTGCTATTAAGGAAACCGTAAGCAAGCTGCCAATCCAGTACCTGTGTCTCACCCAGACAATGCCTAAGGGGTGGTGACGAGGCCTGGCGGGGCGTTGGTGCACAGATAGATGAGGTGGCTGCACAGTGGACCTTGAGATCGAGACCACTCAGTCCCGTACACCTAGCTCTGTCACTGTCTCCTCTCTCCAGCCAGTCTGACCCATTCCCAACCCTTGTACACAACCCATGTTGCGTACAACTTGCCCCCAACTTGTTTCAGGTACCCTGTCCCCACTCCTTACAATCTTTATTGTGTTGGACAATCCCGCTTGTCCTTAAAGACTAAGTTTACCATTAACTTGCCTGAGAATGCACTCCTCTGTTCTGATATCCCTGCTTAATACATGTGTCCTATTGCACCATTTAGCACTCAGCTCAACTAACTTCCGCACTCTTAGCTATCCTCCATTCCTACACTTGACTGAGACCTTGAGAAGAGAACTGAGACTAAGATATCTCTGAATAAGTGCAGGTAGGCATGGGTGGTTGGGTGGGTGGGTGGATGGATGGATGGATGGATTGATAGACAGGAGGGGTGGATACATGGATGGACAGATGGCAAGTGCCAATGTAAGTGAGAGCGACTAGTCGAGAAACCCCCTCAATGGCTGGATTTGAATGCTCTTTCTCTCCCCTGCACCATGATTTGGCCTCTCTCAGGCCTGTCCATCTATGGATCAGGCATAAAAGATGCATTTGAAAAGTCACAGTTCTGGGTTAGCATTAGGATGGATCTAGACATACAGAAGCCTAGCTTTTTGCTGAAAGTCAGTTGGAATGCTCAGTCTATTCTCACTGGTCTTACCTGGCTACAGGATTCTCAGGGGACCTCCATCCTTCTCCAATCCCACCCCACCCCCACCCCCATCAAGCCAGGACCACCACAATTGCTCATGCAGACACCACAGTGGGAAAGGAAGCAAGCATATTCAGAATAAATGAGATAAAGGAAGGCATGAATTCATAAGGGATCTCATAGAAATGGATAAATCACTTACCTAGAAAGGTTTCCTGCAAATCTGGGAGAAGGCTATGCCATGACAGAACACAGCCTACATGCTATTAGCTTCAACATTTGCACCTCATTAGATGGTCTGTGCAGCCAGCCTGGGAGAAAAGCACAGTGTCCATCCCACAGAGACCCAAAGGAGATTACCCCAGGCCCACAGCTATGCAGTGGGAGAGCCAAAACTCAAACCTAGGACTGACTCCAAAATCTAGGGGAAATTGCATTTGTCCTTGCCAAGAATATGGCCTTGCCAAATGTAAGACTGTAAAGAGACCCCCCTTATTAAGACAAAACAATACCTCCCAAGGCTTCATCTGAGATACAACACTGCTGGGTGGGAAAGCTGGAACAAAAAGCTGTAGTGGTTTCTCCCCATCTCCTCTTCCCTCCTGGTTCTGGGATTCCAGAGCCAGCTGTTCCCACCTCACTGGAATGTTACCCAGTTTTGAAACACTGTCCAAATCTACATGCAAATCCTGCCTTTAATTCCTCTTGGAACTGGGGCAGGTGGACTATTCAAGAAAGGCATCCCTATAGTACAGGAGAAAAGCCAAGAGCAGAGGAAGTACAACCACCTAGAAGTCCAAGGCTGTCTGTTCATCTTGTGGTGAACCCATAATCTGGCATGTGAGGCCCAATTATGGAAAGAGTCTCCAGAATCCACCTACAGCCAGTATCCACAGCGCAACACACCTCAGCACCTAACACCTCAAGCCCATGCATGAGGCAGGAACCAAGCCACAGTCACAAGAACAAGAGATAGGCCTGGAGCTCGGGGCAGCTGACAAAGGCCTTCCAGATGCCCTGATACAGTGTGTGAAATCAAAGCACTATGTGAACCCTTTTGCTTCCCTGTGCTCACAACCTCCTTGGACGTCTCCTTTCACATTCATCAGTGCTTTCCAGAAAATTAGCAAAGCAGCATTTGTCTAGAGAGAAAAGACGTAGTTTTAGAAATTAGCTCAGGTGATTATGGAAACTGAGAAGTCCCAAGATCCACAGTCCATAAAGCTGGGAAGTCATACAGGAGAGCTGATGGTATAGCTCCAGCAAGCTCTGGCCTCAAGAAGAGCCAAGGTTTCAGTTCAAGTCCAAAGACAAGAAGAGGCCCATGTAGCCCTCCACCTCTCTCAGCCTTGTCCTATTCAGGCCTTCAAATGAGTAGATGAGGCCTAGCCACAGAGGGAAGGGCAATGTGCTTCATTCAGTCTACTTAGGAAATGTCAACCTCATACTCTAGCGAAAGTCCTCACAGATACATCCAGAATAGCATTTTACTAAACACCCTATAAACGAATCAACTGCATATATAATAGTTACCATTGCATCCTGAGTTGAAACTGGTCAAGGCACCAGTTTCACACCCCTTCCCCTTGTGTACACGTTTCCTTATCAGAGCAAGTATCCCTTCCTTTTCTCTTCTTAAACCCCTACTCATAACTCAAGATCAAGTCCATGCAGAGTCTCTCAACCCCTCAGTCTGGCTTTCCCAAGTAATAGCAGAGCAGTTCAGTTCAACAAAACAGGCTTTCCGGAATCACTTCCCATACTCCTCACTCTCCACAGAAACCCACCGAGAGTGAAAGGGGTCCCTGTCCCATTGGCATCTGTAGTAATGGGAGATGGGAGAAAGAGTTGTCAAAAAGAAAAGCAACCTCTGGGCTGGGAAGGTGGCTCGGTGGTAGAGTGCTTGCCTTGAGCTTAAGAGCTGAGGGACAGCACCCAGGCCCAGAGTTCAGGCCCCATGACCGGACCAAAAAAAGAAAAGAAAAGAAAAGCAACCTCTGAATTATACAAGAAGGACATAACTTAGCTGGATGGTCAGTGGAGAAAATGGGCAGGATTTCGAAAGGACAAGATGAATGAGTCAAATCTGGAGGTGAGATTGAGGAGAAGATGTTGAGTAGGAAGGAAACTGACAGTTCAAGCCTGGAAAGCAACATGAATCCAGGGGTGGGGGCATGCATGGCCCACCCTGCCAAGAGAAGCACAACAGTCTGGTGCAGTGGGAGTGTGAAGTGGGGAAGTTCTTCAGCTGCTGCTGCCAGATGCAACTCAGGGAGATGTACAAGTGACGCCGATGGAGGAGCTTTATCCCAGCACGGATAACAGCAAGGCCTTATGAGCAGTATTGAGTGTGGGTTTGCACCAGAAAGGTGAAAACCCTCAACCCACAATGAAGACGACGGTGATCGACGGTGATACAGGAGGGTGTCTGTCTCCTGGCATGTCTGGCCTCACCACTAACTCTTCTTGGTAGAGCCTCCTGGTCCTCAAGGCTCTTTCATATTCATGATTTTACATTGTAAGGACTTCACATGTTTGAACAGCATGTCTGGATGTATCCTGCTACCTCCTAGTGGGAGTATCCTCCTTCTTTGCAGCCTGACCCAGGGTTAGGCAGGCTGAGCAGAGCTACTTTTCCCAGCTGATATCTTGGCTTTCCACTCGTCATCATCCTGAGGACATACCACAGGCCTGGCAGGTGGGATACAAAGGATTTCAGCTCACCCTTTCCCTGCATGTCTGTTCCCTCTAGAATATAGAATGGAAATTCTCTTTCAGAGCTCCCAAGCATAACAAATCCTTAATTCTTATCTCCTTTCCTAGATCAAGGATCTTTCTTACTTCTGGCCAGACTTAAGAATCCAGGGACCAACAGGGAGAAAATACACAAGTAAATGGGTTTGAGGGAAAAGGCGAAGGACTCTATTGTCGATCCAAGTTAAAAGTAGTTGTGGTTGTTGTCTGCATTAACTTCCACTGAAATCGTCCCTGCACCTAATCCTTTGCCAGATAAAGCAAGAAGGCATACCTGGTAGATGCTTATGGGCAGGTAAAAGCCAGTCAGTACTGTACCTTAGCCCAGACCATGGAAGCAAATGTTCTGCTCTCCCCA